GTTTCTTATTACTTTTACAACTATTTTTGCTCAATTATTCTGGGCAGGCCCATTTAACATGATATGCTCAGGCTTTTACTATTCTTTTGCAATTATTTGTGAGCAATCATAGGTCACAATTCAAAGTCAGTCCAAGTATAAATGAAGTTCCCATATGACTATTTGTTCATTATCCATTTAGCAAATATTTAGAGTAGCCACCGCAGGGCAAGCCCTGTGCTAGGTAAGAGGGACACACCACAGCAAGAAAGATCTCCGCCCTCTTGAAACTTACATTCAATTCAGTAACAAAGTCAAAAAAACTTCATTCTGAGTTATGCACATACTAGTCTGTCACAAGTTAGCATATTAAGAGACTACAAATGTCATTAAAAGTGGGATTAAGCAGCATGGCCTGTACTTTTAATTTAATTTTTTTTTTTTGGTGTTTTTGGTTGGTTTTGGTTTTTTGGCTGTGAAAATTTTGACTTTATTGTCTCTTCAATTGGTATATCTAAGCCTCTAGCTGAAGTATAGATCTATTTATATTTACCATCCTACATGCCTTCTTCAAAAAAACAAAACTATTTTTTGAGCAGTTAACAGTTTATAACAAAATTCAGAAAACAGTAGAGATAGCTCATGCAGTCCCTGTCCCGAAATCCACAACCTCCCCTATTATCAGCATCCTCCAGAGTGTACAGTTTTTATAAATGATGAACCTATATGGTTTGGCAAGGCTTATTATTAATCATTTAAGGAAACAGTAGGATTTCATTTAAAGAACTATGCAATCCTGGAACCATCTCAGTGAAACTATCCTCCATAAAGCAGAGGAAGGAGAAAAAAACTAGAGCCACATAAAAGCTAAAATTTACTGACATCTTCCTCTGCAGCGGTCAGTATACTGATAATGCTTTAAAGGTATTATTTCATGAAAACGTTCCACTAACTCGTTAGTATTATTCTCCACTTTGAGAAAAGAGAGGCTATGTCACTCAGTTAGTAACAAGGCAGAATGAGTATCTGAGTCCTGGCAGCTTGAAACAGCCTAAGCACTTAACCTAGGCACTAGGCAGGACCTGAATGATAGGAGGCCTGGATGCATGGCAAGAGGTACATTTTTATTCTTGCAGGCAGTGTGAATGGGGGTCTATAAGATTGCCAAGAAAAGCAAAAAAGACCAACTCTTAAGTCTGACTATAGATCCCAAGTTTAGGAAGATGACTGTCCTACTGTCCTACAGGGTTCATAAGGATCTGGATCAGCAAGCAACAAGAGTCAGCAAAGAGGTCCCACAGCTCAGTGCTTCAAAGTTCAGAATCTGGATATGCTGCCCCCCCACCGACATCTGGAAGGCTAATTTTTCTGCATGTGGAAATCTCTGTTATTTGCCAACATCCAAGACTGGGGTGATGAAAGTAACATCATTTCTCTCAGAAGGTGTAAATTTTACACGCCTCTCCTGTTCTGCTTTCCCCTGGCCATCCAGACTTGGGTTCTACCTCTCTTTTCAGTGCAATTACGGCCTCCAGCTCGCTCAGGATCATGACGACAGCAAGGGTGCCAAACATTGGTAGAAAACTCTACAAGGGTAAACCAAAAGAAGTCCATGAACTGTTAGATAGTCCAGGAAAAGTCCTCCTGCAGTCCAAGGACCAGATTACAGCAGGAAATGCAGCCAGAAAGAATCACCTGGAAGGAAAAGCTGCAATCTCCAATAAGATGACCAGTTGTATTTTTAATTGTTACAGGAAGCAGGAATCAAAACAGCTTTCACCAGAAAATGTAGAGAGACAGCTTTCATTGCTCCCTAATGTGAAATGATTCCAATTGAATGGGTTTGCAAAACAACAGCAACTGGTTCTTTTCTCAAAAGAAATTCTGGTGTCAAGGAAGGATTTAAGTTTTACCCACCTAAAGTGGAGCTATTTTTCAAGGATGATGCTAATAATGATCCGCAGTGGTCTGTAGGAACAACTAATTGCTGCAAAATTTTGCTTTGCTGGACTCATTATAGGACAAACTGAAGTGGGTATCATGAATCAGGCTACACAAGCTATTTTTGAAATACTGGAGAAATCCTGGTTGCCCCAGAACTGTACACTGGTTGATATGAAGATTGAATTTGGTGTTGATGTGACCACCAAAGAAACTGTTCTTGCTGATGTTATTGATAATGATTCCTGGAGACTCTGGCCATCGGGAGACTGAAGCCAGCAGAAAGACAAACAGTCTTACAGTGACCTCAAGGAAGTGACCCATGAAGGGCTCCAGATGGTAAAGAAAAACTTCGAGTGGGTTGAAGAGAGACTAGAGTTGCTTCTGAAATCAGAAAGCCAGTGCAGGGTTGTAGTATTGATGGGATCAACTTCTGATCTTGGTCACCGTGAAAAAATAAAGAAAACCTGTGGAAATTATGGAATTCCCTGTGAATTTTGAGTAACATCTGCCCATAAAGGCCCAGATGAAACTCTGAAGATAAAAGCTGAATATAAAGGGGATGGCATTCCGACTGTGTTCGTGGCAGTGGTGGGCAGAAGAAATGGTTTAGGCCCAGTGATGGCTGGTAACACTGCATATCCACTTATCAGTTGTCCTTCCCTCACATCAGTGTGGGGAGCTCAGGATGTGTGGTCCTCTCTTCAACTACTCAGTGGTCTTGGCTGTTCTACCATACTTTCTCCTGAAGGATCAGCTCAGTTTGCTGTTCAGATATTTGGGTTAAACAACCACTTGGTATGAGTCAAACTTTGAATGAGCATACTGAACACATGGATTTCCTTGAAGCAGGCTGACAAGAAAATCAAAGAATGTAATTTCTAAAAATGTCATTTCATTGGTGGTGGGGAGGGGGTCCTACACATTTCCAATTTAGCTGCAGAAAAATAAGCAAAGTAGAAAAAAATGATTCTGAATCAGAGAAAACAAAATTGATACATGCATAAATGCTTCTCTAGATAAAAAAAAAAGTTCAGAATCTGTAAAATAGAGCCTGCAACCAGCCTCCTGCTACTCTCCTCCCCAGGGAATTTTCTTCCCATTAAACCAAGGTGGACAAGAATTATGAATAAGAAACATGAACTACAAGTCACTAACAAACACTTTTATCCTCCATCTACTAGAATAATGTTTTCTAAATTGTGTTAAGTAGAGAAAAACTGCCCAAGGAGACTCCAATCAGTCTGAGCTAGACTAGGAAAATCTAGTGAATATCCTGGGATTGCCAGGAAACACCCCAGCCTCCTTCTAAAAAACTGAGTCACCAAATTAGCAGTCTTGGAGAGGACAGGAAAGGGAATCCTGGTTACTCTTAAATAACCTGCTTGTCTTCTTCATTAAACAAACATTACTGCTTCCCATGTGAAATCTTGATGAGAGATATTTTGAGCGTCACTTATTCTGTGTGTGATACTACAATTTTCTTTCTTGACACAATCAACTTAGCAACTTTTCTGGGGGTTTCTGAAGATGCCTGAAATGTGGTATATATGGGAGGGAAAGGATGAGTGAAAAAGATTAGAAGATAAGAAATAGGGAAACTCCTTTCCCATGCAAATATTCCAAGGAAGACCACTGAATTATACTTAGGCTTTTTACCTCATCACACTTAATCCTCAAAACCCTATGACAAAGATGAATCTGAACTTCCATCCCTTAGCTGGCTTCAGATCAGTCACAGCTATTCTGTTGTGATTTTAACTTCTCCCAGTAGACAGAATAATCTTTCCCAAAAGGTGTTCAGTTCTAATCTCTACAATTTGTGTTTACCTTCCATTGCAAAGGAAAGTTAAGGTTGGTAATCAACTGATCACAAAAGAAGGAGATGGTCCTGGATTATCTGGGTGCACCCTACATAATCATAAGGAACCTCAAAGGTAGAGAGGCATGAGTCATAATGATGTGGTTTGAGGACTCAATCTGTTATTGCTGGCACTGCAGATGCCAAAAGAGGGTTTTGAGCAGAGAGATGTTGACAGCCTCTACAAGGTGGACAGGGCAGGAAAAGAGATTTTCCCCAGAGCTTCAAGAAAGGAAGGAAACTGCCAAGACCTTGATTTTAGTTCAGTAAGACCCCATCAGACTACTCATGTACTACATGTTGTATCAAATGTGTAGTAGTTCGCCACGGCAGAAAATAGAAAACACACCAGGCTTCTTAGATCTTAAGAAAATTTTGACAATAACTACTAAAGTGACCATATACTCCAGTATGCTGCCTGTCTGTGAACTGTTTGGTACCATTCCCCAAGGAGATAATTACAAAAAGGTTGTTTTTATATAATCCAACTTCATGTTTACTGAACCTAATAATAGAAACACTCAGGTTTATCCTTACACTTATTTTCTCTATTTCATTTACCTAGTAACTGTATTGTTTCACTAAAGTATTGGGTGAAACGGAATTAAAAAACAAATAAGCAAAGTGCAGCCCGGAAAAATTAATTGTCCAAATTCAGAAACAGTAATTCTACCATCCACCTATTTAAAGAACAAATATTTATGAAAAGTCTTGTACACCAGATACCAAAGCTTCATGATGGAGCTAGTCTGTCTGCAAGACTCAGCACAGCTCTGCCTCTCCCAGCTGAGTCCACTTCGCCTCCGAGTCCCAGGAGCCACCCGGGACCGCCTCACTGGCCACGTCCCCTGTGATGCCCCCTACTCCCCGCGGCCAGCACTCGCCGGGACAGACACAAATTAGGGCATGTGGGGACAGCAGGTGCGGCAGTTGAATGTCGCCTAACAGTACAATGACTGAAGAAAAAAAGCCAGCCACAAGTTTGGGTTCCAGTCCCCAGCGGCAGAGCTACGAAAGACCTATCCGTCGCCCTCCAGGTTATCCGGACCCGGCCAACCTGGATCCCCAACTTCGGGTCCAGGTTTCGCACACCAGGCCCCGCCCCGAGCCCCAGGGCCCATCCGCAGCTCCAGCCCAGGCCGCAGCGTCTCCACCGTGGCCCCACCCCCTGCGCCGGCCGGCCCACCGCGAACTGGGCGTGACTCGCGCCAGTCCTCACCCGCCCGAGCTCCGCCTTCCGCTGGAACTCCGAGTGCCGCTCCAGCGCGCTCGCGAAGCCCCCTGGGCGCGTCTTAGGCTCTGAGGAGTCAGAATTCCCGCTCTCGGAGCCACTCTCAGTGCCCGAGCTTCGAAAGCGCCTAGAGAAGAGAAACACTCGCAGTAAAGGATTCTCCGCCGCCACGGCACGAGTCCGACACAGCGCCGCCATGATGCCTTCACAACCTCTGACCTCTGGCCTCCGTTCCGCAAGCGCGCGGCCACGGGGCGGGGCGACGAGGGCCCCGCCCACCTGCCGCTGAGTGCTGAGGGGAGGCGGGCCTTTCATTAGGAGCTGGAGAGCAGAGTGGGCGCAGAGACTTCAGCCAAAACTGGACCAAATCGTTAGTGGCTAGAAGTGCGCAAAGATTTGAGTGGGGAGTGCATCCGACTCACAGGAGTACGTGGTAATGCCACCCTTGCTGTTCTCCGCGTCTGGGTGTCTTCCTATAATTGGCCGCCTCGTTTCTCCTCCTTTTTCCCAGTCTCCGCTCAAACAGGAGTTCTCCGTGTTAGACTTGAAGGCTGAGACACTGTTCGGCTTCTGCTTCTGTACCATTCAGCACTTCCTAATACGTCATATATTGTACTTGAAAGAATTTTTACAGTCTGCTGCCTCAATTTTGCAAACTCCGTGCAAGAGGGAATTTGCAGTTGGAATCCCTGCAGTGGGCCCAGAGTAGGGCACAACAAACGTATGAAACCCTGGGCCCAAGTTTGTGCTTTGCCATTTCTTCGGCCAGGCCACCCTGGTTATGAAAATAGTAATCTTTCTGAGATATTCTGTCACCTTCTAGGTAGCTACTATCCCTTCTAGTCTAGGATATTAGGAAATTTCAGAATATGCCTACACATTGAACCACCAGGAACTCCCACTCTCTTGATTTTTTTAGCCTCAATGTTAATTTCTCGAATTTGCTTACCCTCTGCAAAACTAAACCCAACGCCAAACATAAGTGTTTATAAAATAATCACTTTCTACACATCTTTTTTTACACAACAGTTTTATGTTAACCCACATTTACTTTGGAGGGCAGGTGGCACACACGTTTCCATTTAAAGGAAATTGAGAGAAGGAAATTTTAGGACGTTTTCAACCTATGTGGCATAGACAACGTACAAAACAAATTCAGTGGGGGTTTAAATTCGCCAGATGAGTTCTGTCCTCTTGGCATTTAAAACTATTTCCCTTAAACTTTTAATACACTCTTGCCTAAGACACTTTTGAATTATTGTCTCCACTTCTTTCAAGATAAAATTCCATAAGTTGTAAAGAGCATGGCCAGCTACCTTTAAAAGCCCTGAGTTATAGTCCTGGCTAAACTTGATTTTAGGCAAGCCAATTTCATATTGCTTTGGTTTCCTCACTTGTAAAACCAAGCTGTTACCACAGTACTGTTTAAGGAAGTGCTTTGTAACCTTTACATCACAATGAACTTAACAAGTGGAGGAGTTACTAAGGTCTCAGCTCTAAAATTCAATAAAAGCCGGGCATGATTGAACATGCCTGTAGTCCCAGCACTAGGGAGGCCAAGGCAGGAGGATTGCCATGAGTTCGAGGCCAGTCTGGGCTACACAGTGAGACCCTGTATCAAATAAATAAAAGTCAGTATATAAGTGATATCTGTGCCCTGCCTTTGCCAGACAACAGGCATTTTGGGGACAATTCCTTTGTTTTTTCCCCTGGATGTTTGTAGTTTTTAATGAATGTGTTGATGAGCTGTATGTACTTCATTGAAGCTTTCAGTTTTACTTGAAAATTGAAGGTTACTGTCACATTAAAAATATTGTTTTAAAATGCCAAAGTCATCAGAGTTGAAAACTGAAGCTTGTTATCAGCTGACTTCAAATTATGCCTTAGTATTCTGCCTTTGGTAGAGCATCAGAAGTATGAAATGAGAGGGGTTAAAGAAAACAGTGAATCATCAAGGGAGGATGTCTACAGGCTTTCTTGCTTGCACAAACACCAACAGGAACATCCGCTGTACTGCAGTGTTTTCACATCTTTCTAGCATTTCAAGAATTTTAACTCTGGAGCGAGCTGCAACTCCCAGGGTGGAGGCCGCTTCCAGGTCAGCGTGCTTCAGCTCCCGACTCGAAGGAGGCTTCTGGGACAGCATACCACAGCTCCCAGCAGAGGAGGCTTCCTGATCAGCGTGCCACAGCTCCCAGCACAGAGGAAGCTTCTGGATCAAAGTGCCATGGCTCTCATCACAGAGGCAGGTTCCAGGTCACTGTGCCACAGCTCCCAGGGCAGAGTAGGAGGCTTCCAGGCCAACCTCCCACTGCTCCCAGCAAAGAGGAGGTGAGCCTCATGGGCGCCAGCAGCACATACACCCCCCCAATGGAAATGAGTAAACAAGCCTCACAACCAGACTTCCAGATCACCTACAGCAACCCCAAAGGGAAACCAGATGGAACACTGATACTCAACCACCTGGACTCCCTGAACTAGCAACGACACAGGATCTGGAAAAAATGAAATCAGAAATAATTTCTCACATAACAGCAGAAATTGTGCCCATAGTGCAAGACATGATTAATAAATCTAGAGAGGGCACAGATAAAAAAATAGAGGAGCTGAGGAACATGATGGAATCCTAATATAGGAAACAAATGGAACCCATAAAACAGATGCAAACAGATTTCCAGGTGATTAAAAACTCCACTGAAAGTCTGTGCAGTAGAATGAGCTAATTAATGTGGGGACAGAATTTCAGATACAGAAGATAAGGCTGCAATTAGTGACCAGGAAAAGAAAACTTGCTTTAAAATTGTAAGGGGCTACGAGAAATCAATCCGACAGCTGGTACACAATGCAAAGAAGAATAATATGAGACTGATCTGAGTCAATGAAGAAACGAGAGAGCACAAACAACATAAAAAAACTGTTCACAGAAGTGATGGCAGAAAACTTCCCAAGCAGGGGAAAAGAACTTGACAGATAAGTGAGGCATATAGGACTCCAACT